AATTTCCAGCACGAAGCTCTGGCGAACTAATTTTAGCCTGTACTTGGCCTTTTTTGTCAACAGCTGAGAATATACCAAGACCGCCCGGACAAAATCAGTGTGAGTATTCCATGTTAGTGATGTTACTGAAATATGAGATTCCGTTGTGCCCAGATGTGAAAAAAAGTGGTGCGACTCGCTCCTGGTTCACAATCATTTGCAAAAAAAGGCCATGATTGCTATAGACCATTCGTTCCTGGGCCTGAATTTGCGCCTGAGAGAGAGGGGTAGGGGGGAGGGAAGGGCAACAGCGGTCGTGGATAAGAGTCCCCTCTCACTCTGGGAACTATGCAAAAACTAGGAATAGAGTTGTAACACTGCTACTTAGAGTCACTTTAGGCTCTAGTTTAGTTCAAGCTTTAGACCCGGACTTTTACAGCACTGGTGCCTGCGCCGCTGAGTGGAGGGCAAAAGACCCTTCCGCACCCCGCTCCACCTAGATCCAATTATGTGGCCAAATACTGGATGAAAGAACAGAGAGGAGAGAAAGGAAGACTGTCGAAACTAATATATGTGAAGAAACTACCGATACTGTCGCAAGGTGAGGGTATTTTATAGGAGAAATTGTGAGGAGTTTTCGGTAATAAGAGAAAGACAGAACCGGCGGTGCCATAAATCATAATCTCGCGAACATCTCGACGGAGATGTTTCGCGAAATAGCGGGAATTCCCAGTGCTGCCGTTGGGAATATGCTTTTGTTTCGTTGTTTTTTAACCCTACCGGGAATGGGAAAACATTTAAGCAAACGCGACCTTCCCTGGGAAAGAGGCTTGGACAGAAAAGGGGTAAGGGGGGGGGGGCGACGAGGGCTAATGGAGTGGGTATAAAAGGGGGATCTGGCTATGGACGGGACCGGTCCAACGACTCACAATACGGCGAAGTTACCTGCGCGGTCTCCCGGTAGCAGTTTTCTCCCGACAGCCGCTACGCCGTTTTGTCCCGGCAACTGCTTTTATGCGTTTTTTTGCAGCTATGCAATGCAAAAACGCATACTGACGAGAGATTGTCTGTGTGTGCGTCTGTCACGCACTTTCATCTCAAGACCTGTAAAAGCTGCAGGGCTGAAATTTCGGGAACTTAATCTACATGCACGTGCCGGCCCCATCCCCCAAAATGGGCGCCATTACCCGTGTGGTACCCGCGTACGGCCCCACCAAAGTTTTTTTCGGTTAAGTTCATAACTCGGGGATCTGAGAAGCTAGAACGCTAAAAGCTTGGATGTTCCTCGTCCAAGTGGGTATTAACGAGTTCAAATCCTGTTCGCGGGTAAGCGTGGCACCTACGTACGGGCCTGTGAAAATTTCTTCCGGGTAAGTTGCTAACTCGAGAACGTGAGAAGCTAGAAGACTGGAATTTTGAAGGGATG